ATTTGTAAAAATTAATGATTTCTTAAAAATAATATTTATATACAAATGTTATTGGAAAATAATAAATCAGATAGAAATAAAAATACACCTATATAATATAAATATAAATAATATCTAATTTTATAAATAATAAAGTAATTAATAATAAAAATAATAATTGTGAAAAGTAAATTTGTAAATGGTAAATAATAAATAACAAGAATATATGAATTTGAATACATTATTTTTTTTTCTAAGAGCAATATATTCTCACTTACATCAATTTGAAAATTGAAATCTAGTATGGTATTTGTAAGCGTGGGTGCTTTTTGGGACCGATTTTCAAGAAAAAACCGTTTTTCATGTATGTATTGACAGGTAAACACCACATAGGATACACATCAGTCAACCATTGGGGGAAATGGTTGTGGAGTCTCGATTTTCAAGGCATGCCTGATTCTTTAATAATCGGCTAAACCAAACAATGAGATACATGGGCATTTGTTAATATAAAAATATAATAATAATAATAGAAATAGAAATTATAAAATAAAAATAATAATTTTATAATTAAGTAGTTTTTTAATTTTCACTTAAATAGTTAATACTAATTACTTAATTATCTAATTATCTAATTATTAATGAAATAATATTTAGAAATTATTATTATTATGTATTACTTTTTGGATACTTACTATTTTTTGCTGTAATTTTAATTTATTATTTTTTGTGAGTACTTTTTTTTGTTAAGATTTATGATTACTTTTTTATTTTAATTTGTTTACAACTAGCTTCCTAGATCCAACCCATCACTCTATGCGTCAAATGCCTTTTCTTCTAGGGTTTGGGCTTACAATTTCTCTTCTGTCACTCCAAGGTTCCTGCCATCCCACTCCTCTCCCTCTTCAATTTAAGATGACCATGGGCTAGACCAGGCTAGGATGGGGTAGCCCAACCTAGCCCATACTTAGGCCTAATAATATATGCCCATGCCATACATACATACATACATACATACATACATACATAGTATGGACAATTTCTCTCTGTTTGCGAAATGAAATATTTCGCTTCAAGAAATGGAACCTTACAGTAGATTGACTCGTATTTGCCCTCTTGCACGTGTGGCACCTTTCAACCACCCTGCAGATGTCATTAACTGGTGTGCCTGCAGGTGAGTTGTGGCACTTGAGGACGAGTTCGACTTCCGTCAGGGCAACGCCTGTTCGAGCAGCCTTTTTTGCATTGCATTGAAAATATCTCCCTACTCATGTGCTTTATTTCATGGGGAGATATTCCCGATGCAAGGTTGCAAGAGGCTGTTGGGATGGTGTGAGCATGGGCTTGCCTTGACCGAAGCCGATCTCCTCGAGGACTGATGCTCCCCTATGGCGATTGTTCTGTGATTCTCTCTCGTCAAATCACACTTATCACTCACGAGCTCACATTAGCCCCCTTCAATTTTTACAAATTTAACCATTTTTTCCATATTGCCTCTTCATTTTCATTTTACGGGGGGAGAGGGTTAGTTGGAGATAAAAACATACACACCCGACTAAATTACCTATCATGGTTGAACATGCCCGTGTTCAGTACAGCTGGGTCTTAGATGGGGGAATACAGTGAGCATTGATGTGTTCAACCATGATAGATAATTCAGTCGGGTGTGTATGATTTTGTCTCTAGCTCATCCAGACTGTTTTGCAGGGGCCTTTTGCTACAAGAAAACTAACTTTGAAAGTGGGCCCTAGACAAAATAGTGCATTTAGTATAGATAGAGTACGGCAGTATGGATGAGCCCAGATTTTCTACTCACATTTTCTACCCACTCTCTACCTGCCATGAATTGCAGCCACACATCTCTCAATTCATAATAAAAAGTGTGGCTCCAATTCACGACGGATAAAGAGTGGGTAAAAAAAGTGAGTCGAGTGAGAACTGATTGGTCATTAACTTTATATGTTAGGCTGTGCAATTTGAATGAGCCCATCCTGAGCGTGGACTAACCTAACTCCAATTTTTACATGTCATGGAATTAGGCCCAAAACCACGGGTTTATCCATCTTTGGGGCTAGGCCGCCTACACATTAGATAACCCAAGCCCAGTTTGCCTTGACTACACGCCCAACTTAATTAGTTATTTTATTTCCTTTTTATAGTCGATAGGTGAAACTTTTTTAACCCCACGGGGTTTAGGTTCGGGCTCTAAAAATCGGGCCTGATTATTTTTGGGCTAGGTTTGAGTTTTTCCAAATAAGCTTAACCGATAATATTAAATATATAATATATAATATATATTATATAATAATAAAATTAATAACAGAAAAAAGTATCATATAAATTAAATGTATAAAATATAATATATTATTAATATTATATAATAAATATATTATAAAATATCTGTCAAAATTGGGTTTTGTGCTTTATATAAGGCCTGGCTCGGGCCTAATAATGTTTTGTTTATAAAGAGAAGATGGTCTAATACTGCATATATACAAAATATAAACCTTTTTAGGAGATGGTGCTTAAAGCAGTATATATTTAGATTCTTGTTTTTTTTTCTTTTAAATTTTTGGAAGAGATTTGGGAATGGATCATCTGAGTGGTGGTATCCATTGTTCACATGGCAACTTTGAAAATTCCCTCATTCTGACCGATAAGGGGTTAGACTTAGACACGTATGAAGCCCTTAGTCATTATCCACTTTCACCTATCACTTCCCATGCGTTGAATCTAAGAGCTAATTAATTTGATTAATTAAAGAGAGACAAATAAATAAATAAGAGATAATTTTCGCTGTCCACGCTCGGGAAAAGCTTGGCTGTTTGGGAAAAACAGCCCAGACTGTTTAAAGTTTCTTGTACTGTTGCATACGACACGTTAGCATGAATGTGAGGTAAAACAGTAATTACAATTAATATTTTTTAATTAAAAAGACAACTGAAGAATTAAATGAGATAACGTGTCTTGTGCATGTGAAGTAACATGTCATGAGATGACAGCTGAATCCAGATTTTCTTGTCACACCCACCTCAAAGCACTTGCAGCCGTGAATTGAGAACATCTCTGTGAATGAAAACGTAATAATAGAGAGATGTTCTTGATGTATGGCTGCAACGTGCTGTCAGAAGGATTTGAGTAGGATTATGTGTGGAAGAAATCCGAACTCATGACGGCCCATTTATGGAATTTAGACAGCCAATTTTTACCAATAAAATAACTCATAAGGCCACAAAGAAAGAAAAAAATACCGAAGGAATATTGTGAGTGGAAGCTGTTTATTGGATGAGAAAAAAGCTGGTTTGACCGTAAAGCTTATTATTGGGTGCCGGTATCAAAGGACACAGCCGAAAGGACCCGAAAGCCATAATCTTCAACGGATCCCAACTCTCATATTCCACTAACTATCATTTTTAAAAAGTTAACTTATTTATTAATTTTTTTTTTAAAAATAGGGATTATAATAGATGAGGGCAATTTTACTTTAGGGCTTTAATATTAATAAAAGTAATACTTTTAAAAAAGATTTAAAAATAGGTTAACTTTTTGAAAATAATATTAATTAACGACAAAAATACTATTCATCTTCTTCTTCTTGCAATTCATTCAGTAGCGTCGTCGTCCATCGTCGTCCGCCACCACTTGTGACAACTTCTCCACCTATCTCCTCCCACCTCCGCCTTCGCCTCCGGCAACGTTGCTGGAGGTGGGTAGAGGCAGAGGCAGCGACGACGACACTGATGGTCATTCCTTTGCCCAATGCCGCCACCTCCACCCACCAGCGTTGCCGCCGCTGCCTCTGCCTCCACCCACCTTTGACAACGTTGCTAGAGGCGGAGGCGTTGTCGGAAGTGGTGGCAGACGATAACTTTGATGAATGGATTGCAAGAGGAAAAAGATGAACAATATTTTTACCCTTAATTGATATTATTTTTAAAAAGTTAACCTATTTTTGATTTTTTTTAAAATATTACTTTTATTAATATTAGGTGAGAGTTGAGAGACATATAGCTATATACAAAGGCATGGTTTTCAAAATCGGACCGGACTGGAAAAATCAGATGTTTTCCCCCCAAAATCGTTGATTTTGGTCAACGAACCACTGAACCATTTGAATGGTTTTGACTGTTTTTTATTTTTTTAATTTTTTTATTTTCTATCAAAATGGGCCAAGCATTCAGTTTGAACGATTGAACTGTTCAACCTGATAACCAGACCCTGACCAGTTCAATCACCAGGTCGGTTTTAAAAACCATGTACAAAGGTGAGTGGGTTCAGGATAAACATAACTCATTAGTTGAGTTCATTTTGGAAGCTTATGCCGTGATAAAGATGCATGTGATTGGTGGAATATGCCATGCCCATTGAGAAAGAAAGCCCATTGGGTCGGATAGCTGGGAGCTTAGGTCCATATGCCTCTTTCTAGCTTCAGTTACTTACATTATGGAGGAAATACATGGGTGTATAGTCCACCGACTCACAAAACACTGTTTCAGTGTGGGCGTTTTAGAAAGTTACACACTGTGATAACGTAACTTTGGTCTTGTTTATTTGATTTAATTTATGAGTCCTTTGACAAGTTTTTTTGGAAAGATTTTCTGATAGTTTTGATATTCAAAAGATATATTGAGTTTTTGCATTAAGATATGAGTAGTTTGAAGTATGTTTAGTTAAATTATGTTTTTTTGTGCGTTGCATGTAAAGACAAATAAAAAAATACAAAAGATCTATTTGAAGTTTCCCAAAAATTGTTTATTTTGTGCTTTTCGTGTTTTTTAAATGTATCTTTTGATGGTTAAATTTACGTGAACCAAACGGAAAAGACCGAATGGGATCTTCCTGACTTATAAATATCGATAGACCACGTGGAAAAATGCACCAAACGGGACCTTAGAGTCATTATTCTGTCAGACATATTCTGTTTTGAACGGTGAATGACGAGTCGAGAGTAATAGACCTATAAAGCGTGAAACAAAGCCAGTCGTGTTGATTTGGTATGTAGATAACGAGAGAAAGAGAGAGAGAGAGAGAGAGAGAGGAGAATGGAGGTGCAAAGTATGAAGGCGAGTTCAAAGTTGATGGAAGTTCAGAAAGTACTCCACATGAATGGAGGGAACGGAGAGACTAGCTATGCTAAGAACTCAACATCCCAGGTCAGTCCACTCTTCTTCTTCTTCTTCTTTTTATTTATATTGACCTTATCTTTTGTCTGTGTGAAGAATAAGGTAATATCCATGGCAAAGCCCATAATAAAGAAATCTGTGCTGGATATGTATGACACCAGCTTCCCAGAGACCATTACCATAGCGGACTTGGGTTGTTCTTCGGGCCCCAACACCCTGTTGGCTGTCTCCGAGATGATAAACATTGTTGATCAAAGATGCCGTCAGCTAGACCGTTCCTCACCGGAGTTTCAGGTGTTTCTGAACGACCTCCCGGGAAACGATTTCAACAGCGTGTGCCAGTCACTGCCAGCATTCCACGAGAAGCTCAGGGAAGAAAAAGGAGAAAAGTTCGGACCGTGTTTTGTTGCCGTTGTACCAGGTTCTTTCTACGGGAGGCTCTTCCCCAGCAACACCCTACACTTTGTGCACTCTTCTTCCAGTCTGCATTGGCTCTCTCGGGTTAGTTGGTAATTGGAAGTACGTATATGCGTGGTAATGGTAGCTTAAGCTTGCTAGGTCCATTGCCTTTCAAGCATGGGGCGAGAGTCTGGATTAATCGGTTCAACTCGGCTATGGTGTCCATTAGAGCGAGGCCCCCTTTACAATCAACCATGGTTTTCAAAACCGACCGGACCGGACGATTGGACTGGAAAAACCGGGAATGACCGGTTCCGTTTTTCCCCCTAAACCGGATTTTCTCCAAAAACCATTGGTTTTGGTCAGCAAACCACTGACCCGGGCGGTTAATTGTTCGAATGGTTTTGACCATTTTTGATTTTTTTAATTTTTTACCATTTGGTTCGAACGGTTGGACCATCTGACCCGGTAACCGGACCCCTGACTGGTTCAGTCTTCGGGTCGGTTTTAAAAACCATGCAATCAATTGCATGCTTGGTCCCATCATGGGTCAGTTCTAATTTATAGCTAGCTAAACCGGCCCAGGATTTGGACACCTCGATTTTAAGTAGGGATGTCAATAGGTTGGGTTTGGCATGGGTTTGCCTCAACCTGAACCCAAACCCGATTCAACCTTATAGGGTCTAACCCAATACCAATTTGACTCGACCCATAGCATTTCAAATGTATTTTTAATGCATTTTAAAAAATAAAAATCCACTAATTTAAGTTAAGAAATTGTTTTATTGATTTAAGGTATTACTTTTTCCATTTAAAAAAAGAAGAAAACCAAAGTCACAAAACTTAAGGCTGCATTTGGATGCAATGTAAATTTTACATAGGTTCAGTATTGTATGCATTTGGAGAAAGAGGGTGTAATTATAATCGACTTAAAATTACACTCCAATTTAGTTTTGAGTGCGTTTGGATGGAATATAGTTTTACGTCGATAATCGATATAAAACCTCATCAACTCTAAAGTTTTACATTGATAATCGATATAAAAACTATATCGATTTTTATCAATGTAAAACTTTACACTCTTCCACCCATCACTATTTTCAAAAAAGCAATGGTCAATGTAAAACGTCATCAATGTATTTTTATATTGATAACGTTTACACTGATTCCAAAGCATCACAAAACCAAAGTGCAAGGCAATTAACAATAGTTGGGAACTGTGACAATGACAAAGGGAATAATCTATCACAATTCAAGAGGATATTATAGCATAGGTGAAATTGGATTTATTCCTGGTAGAGCATGCCTCACATGAACCTTACAACACATTACAGCTGCAATGCAATTTGGGAACATATTCCGATCAATGAGTGACAACATTAAATATGAGAGAGATGTTCTTAATGCAGAAGTGGGAGTTTGGGACAATAAAGCCAATAAAAATTTCTTAGCTAAGACTTAATTTAGTAAGTGATGTATAAATACAAATGTATATATATACGGTGCAAAGCCTAGTGTTTTGTATTTCTAAATTTATATTTGCATCGTATACTCTTCCAAATTGAGCCTAAATTTCTTATAAGTGAAATATCAAGTAGGCGACTTTGTCCTTGTGTTGAGAAGGGTAATTGAAAATTTCAATTTCGTGACATGCAGGTCCCTCCAGGACTGGATGCCAAAGCGAATCCACCATGGAATAAGGGAAAGATATACATCTCTAAGACAAGCCCGCCTGATGTTGCAAAGGCATATTTAACGCAGTTTCAAAGGGATTTCTCGCTGTTTCTCAAATCGAGAGCAGAAGAAATAGTTGCAGGAGGGCGGATGGTGTTGACATTTTTAGGTAGGATTACTGCAAACCCCTCGTCTGAAGAAAGCTGCTATCTTTGGGAGCTCTTAGCCCAGGCCCTCACAGACTTGATAACAGAGGTAATTAAGTTGCCAACTTTTCATATATCTATCAGCTTGCCTGCGACCAACTCTCGATTCAGAAGCTCCTGATCATATATATATTTGTTTCATTTGTGTGTTAATTACTTCTTAATTACTGGAAATTAATAATATAAAATGTATGAATATTTGAACATGCATGGACAATTATTGTCAGGGGATCGTTGAAGAGGAGAAGTTGGATTCGTTCAATGCACCCTTCTACGCACCCTCTGCTGAGGAAATCAAATCAGAGATAGAGAAAAACGGGTCGTTTGAACTTGACTGTCTTGAGAGTATGGCGTTGGATTGGAGTCAAGATCAGGAAAAGGATGAATGTGATAAGTTAACGAAAGCCTTGGGTTTGGCTAGGGCTATCAGAGCCGTTTCGGAATCTATGCTCCAAAATCATTTTGGAGAAGAAGTCATGGACCGTTTATATCAAAGGTTTGGCCATCTGCTGGTGGCCACTGTAAAGGGAGTCAAGCACATCAACATCATTGTGTCCATGATTAAGAGAAACACATGATATATATATATATATATATATATATATATATATATATATATATATATAATATAATATAATTACTTTTTCGTTACATATTAGTTGTGTCCTGATTGCTTGCTGCTGCCTCATTATTCTCACCTCCCTCTCTGTGTCAGATGTATTATATCGTATCTTATCATATCAGTATTAATTTTGTTAATAGTGATACATTGATACTGATAAGGGTGTCAATGAACCAGTTTTGGATTGGACCCCGTCCAGTCCAAGATTATTTTGAATGGATTGGATGGACCAACAAGACATATTGAATTGGACCAATTAGGTTCAAAATATTTATTAGATTGAATTGGACCTGATCCGTTCGTAATAACTTTATATTGGATTGGGTTGGATTAAGTCAATATCTGGTCCATTGATATAAGATAAGAATATATGTGTCAATGGACAAGGTTTGAATTGAAACCAATCTAAATCAAAATAAATTTGAACAGATTGGATGGTCCACACATTGAATTGGACCAGTCCAAATTGGTCCAAAACATTCATTGGACCGGATTAGACCTTATTCATTTATAATGGACTCACACTGGACTAGATCGCATTGGACCAAATACAGTCCAATTAACACCCCTAGATACTGACCCCCTCCCTAGAACTTTCGTTTGCTACAAGGAGTCACCCTGAACTTTCAGATTTTAGCACTTGCCCCTATTCTTGGCATTCCATCAGTTAATTTTAGAAAAGATTCTAATGTAATTGTCATTTATATGTTTAAATATTTTCAAATTTGCTCTAATATCATTTCATAACACCACTTTGTAGAAAATTGATAAGAATTAATACAGAATTTTGAACGGAACTTTTTGTAATTTTAATTTCACATTTAGCCTCAAGGCTGTTAACGTGAGAGGGGCATAGTTTTCAGAAAAGTATGGACATGTCCAATGCAGATTTTTGAATTCCACCGGAGATCATCTTCTCTAATTTTGGAGTATTCTGTTGGCGGCTGGGGCCAGCGCTTGGACCAGGAAAGAAAGAATACCATCTTTTGAAAGGTTCCGCCTTTTTCTTTCTTTTCACGGATATGGATAAGGTTATTATTCTGTTGCACTAGCTAGCTTAACTATGGATGATGCATCTTTATTCTTCGGCTTTGCATAGCTTTGAACACCCACGTCCAAATCTGTTTATTTATTGGAAGTAGGATTTCATCTTCACGCCATCCTCACAGCCTTTCCAGCTGTGCATCGGTAGTACGGCATGGTTCGCGCAAAGCATGTGCTGGGCCGTGCTGATCTGCGGGCTATTTGAGTCTGTGCCTCTCTCCTCTAAGATATTTTGAGGGGTCGGCCTGAGTCTATGCGGGCCCATATTAGGTCGGGGCCAAATCAGGCCATGGATTGGGCCAAAGTTATTTATTTAAAAAAATAAAAACCTTAAAATTTTAATTTTATATAAATTTTGATGTATATAATTACTTATATATATAATAATTAAATAAAATTGAAAAAATTGTTTACTTTATTAATATATTATAATTTATATAATATATAATATATTATATATTATATATAAATATATACAAATATATATGGGCTGTGTTAGCTCGCGGGCTACGGGCAGCACGACACGACAGTGCGGGCCGGGCACGGCCCACTGACCTGAAACCTCAAGCCCGACATGACTCATCGGCCCATACAATCGTGCCGGGCCGCGACCTGATTTACACCACTATCGGCAACATCTTTCCATGAATGTAAATAGGGAAATTGTCTAAAATTCATCATGACTTTTCAGTATTTCTCTTAAACTTGCTGTAACTTTTTAAAACGTCTAGAAAACCCCATGTTAGTGACTATTTGTTTTTCAACACTCACCATCCGTTAGAGCACCGTTAGTGTTCATTTACAGAAGTTGTCCACATCAGCATAAATATAATTTTTATGACCAAACTTCCCTTGAATGGTATGTCAGCCTTATTAAACATATTTTTGTATCAGCCTATTTTTTATTCACTACACCATTGTTCTAACTAATATCTGATAGAAGTGGACGTTGGGTCCTACAAAGACACGTGCCCTCTTCTTGACCAAAGATCTTTTCTTACATTTTAAATTAGGGATAAAGTGACACTTAGATGAGTTTGATTTGAATCAAAAGTGTTCTTTTTTATTAAAAGCTCCACTTTTAGTTAAATATGTTAAATGGACAGAAAATTTTTTAGACTTAAATATTTGAGATATATTTTTGTTATTTTTTATCAAAGTTTTGCTTTATTTTCCATTTACAACAGAACAAAGGGTAAAATAGTAATTTACCAACATCCATTAGTCTATTTAATATCAACTTACTGACACGGGATTCCTTGGACGTTTTGAAAAGTTATGGTGTGTTTAAGGGAAATGCCAAAAAGTAATGGTGAGTATTAAACAATTTCTCATAAAAATATACAAGTATAAAGATGTTTTCAATGCATGACTGCAAGTGTTGTAAGTATGGTGTGAGCTGAGGACAAAATACGATCTCTATTTAACCGGGCTTTTCATTACATTGTGCTTCATGGATTCAGATGGAACTCATTGTGCTTCATGGTGGGCTCAGGTGCGTTGGATTAGTTTCTCAGGTTTTAAAGATCGTTTTGCTCATGTTTTGATCGCTTATACCATCCATTTGGGTTTTATAGCTCAACTTGGAAATAGAACAAAAGAGAAAAACATTAAAAACAATGCCCTTAAATAACAGATATACATATGCCAAATGAGTTAGTTTTGGGCTTGGACTACCACATCGAATTTTCCTAGCTCAAGCATGATCCAATCCCAACCATTGAAAAACCTTGGTTGGGTTGGTCTACCCAAAGTTGCAGCTCTAGATGTGGCTTTGTTTTCCACTGATCAATGTTAATTAATTGAGTTTTAAATTGGGAAAAACGAAAAAACCTTTACATTGGATGCAATTAGTTACATTTAAAAAAAATAAAAAGACATTTTTGTAAAGCAAACTTGGATGGTTAATAAATACATGGCTATCATGGCATTTGAATTGAAAAGATCAAAAACATTTGTTCGTAAAATGAATTTCAGAAAATTTACAAGAAGTGCAATTATCTCACCACTGCTCACTAGACCATTCTCCTAATTTTTCATGATGCCTGACTTAACTCGAAAAACAAACATGAATGGCCGCTCTCATGCCCAAACCCAACTTCTAACCCTTAGAACATATACCCAAATCGAGACTCATTTTCTGTACAATGACTTAAAAAGAACACTGCAGAATTCCCACTTGAAAGTGAGAGATGCAAACCTAGAATTTTAATCCAAGGAAACGAACGAAGAAAAAGTTGGGTTCTACTGTTCTAGACCATAAACCAGGAATGATTCTTCGACCAAAAAAATCTAGTCAAAAGTTTGGCTCAATATCATCAAGACATCAAGTCAACAGCCACAAGATCCAGCAGATCTTGAACCGCCTCACTATTGGAGGTTAAATACCAATAAAAACCATACAAAGCCGTACTCTAGCTTCTTTCTTGATGTAACAAATACACATCAAAGAGTCCTGACTGTATTTTCTATAGTTTCATCCTAATCTTCTATTTTTGTGAGTAACAGAACATATGGGGTAGTAATATACAAGCCGGTTAAACCTAAACATGAAAACATAGAAAAACATTGACCAAAGAAATTTACATATACAGAGGGCCAATCAAATTTATTTGTCATGCACAGGAACCAATTTGACCAAGTTTGAAACTGGAAAACTTAAGGTCTTCTCTGACTCAGACTGTCCATACTCAGAAGCATAGTCTCATTCACAACGAAAAATACTGCTCTCATGACGAAGTTCTCCATTGCATCTCAATCTGAATTATTCCATTCTTTGAGTCAATGAGATGGTACTTCTCATTGATTCGTTTGTTGCTGATGACATCTGCGAGGTTGATATCGATATAGCCCAAAATTTCCTGATAAAAAGAAGTAATGGCTTCAGTAACCAACAAAAATGAGGTTCTGAGAATAGCACTAACAAAATTTCTAGCAACAGTAAGAATGGCACTATAGAGTAGTTGCAAAAGATCAAGCACCCCTAAAATGATTGAAGAGAGAGAGAGAGAGAGAGAGAGAGTAGGGGCAGGCTAAAATGAACACATAGGTTGAGTTGAGATAGTGGAAGGCAGATTTGCGATAGAAGGATGGAATGACAAAACCAGATTCATGCAGACGAACCCATATGATTGGGATAGAATTTTTTAGTTGAGTGCCTTTTATCCAAACTAGATTAGACAAGTAGACAGCTGCAATCCAACTCACTCAAGACTCTGAAAACTGTTTTGGTGGGCCCCAACAATGTGACTGTTCCAGTGTTTTTGGAGGCAATCTCAACTGAAGAAGAGTTGAGAGAGAAAACCCTTGGTTTGAGCTAGAGAGAAAAGTCACTCTCTAGTCGGCCAGGTTGTATTTATAATTTTATATGTTACTACTGTGTGTTACATAGACAGTTATGCCCCTAATTAAATATGGGACATTAACAGTTAAAGTGAAATATAAAAGACATTGCACTACTCACTTAAAGTAAGACAAAATGACCAAACTACCCTTTTAACAGTAGATTCTAACACTCCAAGCTGGTGAATATATGTTACGCATATGCAATCCACACTTCCCCGACTCAACCCTTTGGTGAACAAATCTGCCGACTGCCCATTGATTTCCTGTGTTTACATATGAAGTACTTGTTACTCCACTAAGCACATTTTCTCTTACAAAGTGGCAATCAACTTTTATATGTTTTGTTCTCTTGTGGAAAACTGGATTAGAGGAAATGTGGACTGCAGCTTGGTTGTCACAATGCAATTTCATAGGGCTATTATCAATTGAGTACCCCACCTCCTGTAGGAGGTCCAACTATACTAGTTCACATGTAGACCTGTTCATGGGCCAGGCTTGGGCTTGGATTTTGCCAAAATTTGAATGGAGCCCAGCCCAAAGCCCGAGCCCGACACAGTGTAAGTCAGGCCTGAAGCCTGGCCCGTGAACAGGTTTATTCACATGTAGTGTGTGCCATGGTTTATTCAACTTCAACACTGCTTCTTGCCACAACCATCTTCTTCTTGCTCTTTCACGTCACCAAATTCCCCCAAGAAAGGTATAATACCTTGTAGTGGACCTCCTAATAGATATTGAACCAGCCTGATCATCATATGTGTAGCCCTCTATTTCAAGACTTCCCTCCAGTCTTGTTTAACAAGCCACAACCTAGAATTCCCTTCAAATATCCCATAATTCTTACATCCCAATGTGGAACTTGAGGATTTTGCATAAACTGGCTTACCACACTACCCCATCTACCAAACCATGCACGTGGTGTCTGTTTAAGCCTATAAATGACTTCTTGAATCTGCACACCTTACTGACACGACTCACACTCCGAAGTAGAAGGATGGATCAACAACACAATAACATAAGTGCCTTGAGAGAGATGACCAAGTCTACAGTGCCACTAGAGGGGAGAAAGAAACAATTGAAGAGCTACTGATGAACTACCACCATCAAGATTATACAATCCACCAGCTTCATGCCCTCCACCAATCTTCATCCCTATCTTAAGATCCTAAAAAACAAAAGAGGGGTAAAAGGTGATAGAGCAATTGAGAGACTTGATCAATTTACTAACAGACATAAGGTTAAAAGGGAATTTGGGAACATACAAAACCAAAGACAAAGATAATGAATCAAAGTTAATATTGCCAAATACCAACACCACAAATAGGAGATGTAGAGCCATTAGCAAGGGTAATCATGTGAGAAGTAGGAGACTAAGAAAGAGAAGAAAACACACTTGGAGTCCCAGTCATATGATTGGAAGCTCCAAAGTCAATAATCCAATTGGAGGGTTTGGATGCTAGACAAGCCATACCTAAGTAGGCAAGGGTAGAATTATTCTACTATAAGGTGCCTTGGTGTAACCACTCATATTCATCACGTGGAACACTCATCATTTCTTTCACAAAGGCATTTGTGATGTAAAAGGTGTCTGATCAATATGCTGAATTTCATCTCTTGCACCACCACTTGTCACCGCATGATTGGCCCATGTAGATCATAACAAAAGTTAACAATGTGCCCCTCCATTCTACAATAGGTACACTTAGACCATTACTATGTCCTCTACCACGACCTCTTTGTGAATCTCGACCTCCATTGCGCCCACCACCACAATTAAACATTGGACCATGACCTATCTGAACTCCCCAGCCTCCTCCTCTACCTCAACAACCTCCCCCTCTTGTCAAAAAAAGGCAAACCTATCCGATATAGTAGAGTTATCTAAAGGTCAAAATAAAATCCTACGGAGACAAGCAAACGCCTCCTCAAGAGAGGGAAGGGCTGAACCACCTAATATCTTTGCTCTCTCTAGCTCATATTCAGCCTTCAATCACACTAAGAATCTGATCACATCAAGTTGTTTTCTTTGTTATTGCTGAATTTTGACATCAGGTGCAAGGGGATGATAAACATTCAACTCGTTCTGAAGATTCGTCATGCTAGCATAATACTCCTCAAGGCTTTCATTTCCCTATTGCAGATTAAAATACTCTTGGTAGAACTGGTATACTCTAGTAGTGTTGTCTTGTCCAAAGTAAGGCTCCTTTGCATGATCCCAAATCTCCTTGGCCATATCTAAGAACATAAAGCTCACACTAATTTTGGATTCCATGTAGTTCCATAACCATGTCATAATATGTGCATCCTTTTGTTCTCAATCATTGTTACCCTTGAGAATCAACTGAGGGTTTCTCTCTTTTCACATGCTTCATCTTCTCCTTAGCCCTAAGGAAGACTTCTACTGACTCAGCCCAAGGTACATAGTTCTCATCATTCAGCTTAATAGAGGTCATCTGCACATTTAGGTAATTAGGGGGAATCATGCCATTAGATTTGTATTCACTCTGTCTCCCATAGCTGCCAATGGGTAAAAGAAAAAAAAACTTTCCACTCACTAATACATCACACCACCCTACTTGCTAGCCACCACGCTGTACCACAAATGGCTGATTATTTCTGAAAACATCTGTTGTCATACTTTTCAGCAATAAAAATCAATGCTGCCACACACTTTCAGCACCACAAAAACACCCATGTACACCTGAAACACATACCACCAGTTCAGAAATCAATCTGTGTTTGTTCTTCACTGTAACACCCATAAAATCCAGCTATCTATACCACACAAATCGCCTATGCACTAATCTGTCCACTACACAGCCCTCTTCAATCCATTGATTAGAGGATTTCTACCAACCACTTCAGTACTAACTGGAGGCATGAAAACCTCCAGAAGGGAAAAAATGATCACTCCTTTCTGGCGCCTCTTTGATTCTCCAAGGGATCAATGAGATTTCTGATGAAGAATAGGGTAGGAGAGTAGGAGACGATGAAGAAATCTGGGTTGATCTTCTGGACCGATTACCAATGCTCTGATACCATGTTACAGATTCGATCTTCAGTCCTAGAATGAGAAAGAAAGAGAATGAAGGGGGGAGAGAGAGAGAGAGAGAGAGTTACTACTGTGTGTTACAAACTAGAGAGAAAAGCCACTCTCTCTAGTCGTCCAGGTTGTATTTATATGTTACTAGTGTGTGTTACAAAGACAGTTATGCCCCCAATTAAGTATGGGGCATAACACTTAAAGTGAAAAATAAAAGACATTACACTACTCACTTAAAGTAAGACAAAATGACCAAACTAGAAGAATTCACTTAAAGTGAAAAAATGACAAAATAAAAGACAGCACCCATAAGAAGAATTGACTTGTTACAAGTTGAAGGGGCTAGAAGGGCAAGGGGTAGTCCAAAAAACATGGCTAGAAGTAGTAAGATAAGATTTAAGGGCCAATACTTTAACAATGAATATGGCATTAAACAGAATGGACTGATGAAATAGGATTCCTGTAGCCAACCCCATATAGTTGGGATAAGGCTTGGATGATGATGATGATGATACCCATAATTTCTTAAAAATTTCGTTTCTCTCATTTCTATGGTAGTGTTAATGTTTTTACAAGCATTAAAAAACAGAAGGGTGATGCAACGAATACCTTAGTATGCAGAAGGCCCAGTTTTGACGAGGAACTCATTACTTCAACATGAAGTTTATCATTAATGGGCGGTTCATCCAGCATAAACTGAAACTCTTCTTCCCATCTTGGATCCCTGTTCTTCTTAATAGGCTGCACCAGCACATAACAGGAGTTATTCAAGATAATATGAATCACAAAGTCATGTCAGATCCCTATAATTCTGAAATCAATCCTAAGTAGCAAGTTTAATGGGTATATAAAATAAAAGCAATAAAACTTTCAACTCATGGAATTACAAGTGAAAATACTGAATTAACAAAAGAAAATATGGCACTAGACAGACCAGAACAGATGAATACAATTTATAAAGTTGTCTCAATGATGATGATGGTTATGAAAACCCTTTATAAGGTAATGAAATAAAGGTGTTACATTTTTACTCAAAGTACATGAAAATATGTGAAGAAAATCAGCTGTTCATGGTATAATTAGCTTACAAGCAGCATTTTAATGGTTCAAACACACATATTGTTGAGTATTTGTAAGAAGGCTCACTAGTAAGGTTACAAGCAGCATTTTAACAGTTTAAATACATGTATTGTTGAGTATTTGCAAAATGGGTCACCTTTTTCATTGCATATATGGAGCCTATTATGTACCTTGGTCCTTCTCTCCTCCCCTTTAAAAATGAGGCGAGCATATGGATTAGTGTGATGCTTCCCTTCAACATCTTGGGCTTCGTGAACTATAACTACAAGCAGACCACCACCATCAGGTGTTCCTTCTGGAGCTTTTTCCACAGTGTTCGACTCCTCAAATTCTTTAGGTATATCATCCTCTGTAAAAGGTTTGTAAGTCACTTCCACCTCGAGCTGCCCACGTGACCTCTCATTTTGAACATCATTAGGATCCATGTTTTTAAGAAGATCAAGAGTCATAACTTTTGGTTCATCAGGAGTGAGATCTTTCAAAGTAATCATATTCATTCCCATCTTGTCATGTTTGCCAACCTAGGGAAAAGGAATGAGCATAGCTTGAGCAACAAAACATGGAAATAGAAAAAGCTCTAAAACAGAAGCATACCTGTTCCCAGTCATAGACACGAAGCTCCAAAACTTGAGATTCTGGGTCTTTAACTACCAAACTGAATTCCTCATTCCATTCAGGGTTCAAGTTCTTGTGCTTCACTGTCGTCTTTTTTGATGAAAGCCTACTATCCCCAGTCAGTTTTAGTTTGACATAAGGATCTGAGGCCCCAATAAGATCTTTTTTCTTAAGCTTCTTTGCCCTCAAAACCTTCACCTGGAGAATTCCAACAGGCCTCTTGAAAGCTCTGTAAATTTCAGATCAAGATTCCTTTGTTACAAGCATTAAAGTGACAAGGACACAGGACATTAAGGAAAAGAAATAGAACAAAAACAAGAAGAATGCAACTTTACCTTGAGGGATCCATGACTTGAACTTCTAGGGTTTTTGGCCACAAATACATATTTGCAACCTGATCTTTGATAAATTCCTACAGGAAAAATCACAAAATGACAATAAAAAGCAATGGGAGCGTGAAAGACAATTGATGATAAATCAATTTGGTTTATCTTTGCATGAAGGCAAGAGAAGTTGGTATAACTGGCCTGTTTACTGGTTGTACTGAACAAAATTAGTAGTTAACTTCTTCAGGGTGAATCTACAGTATAAATTGGATAATTGTAACCAATCCTAAATACAACAGAACAAGAAAGCTCCATTCCCTAGATTCTGAGGGCATAGGATACTGTCACCTATTTAAATATCGAAAGGAATGCTGATATTTTGTGCAAAGAAAAGTTAGTTCTGATATCTCTGGCTTTTAGCTGTTAATAACAAGCCATTAATTTTATCAGTACATTAGTTTCAACAGAGATATATGATTGTTGAGATGGATGAGTGGGAAAATTAGAAAGGGCAAGGTAGAAAATGAACTTATTTGAAGGAATGTATGATGTAGGACTTAAATGACAAAAGAATAAGCTTAGGAGGGCTGGGATGAGTAGGGGTGATTTAGGACAAAAACAAAGATTGATTACATTAGAAAAATCCTGGAGATTTAATCGCAAAGGTTGCAAATTCACCCCAAGACAACAAAAAACTTCGAATGGGGAAAACAGGTCTAGGAAAGGAATTTTTTTATTGAAAATTCATATGAAGGGTTAAAATGTATAGCTGTATGGGGCAACCAAGTTGGTCAGGTTCAGCATACATATATGACATAAAAGGACGAAAATTACAGGACTGGGAAAAAGATCAAAAAAACAAATGGGTTCTAGGTGGAATTTTAGGTTGTTATTTGGAGGCACAAAAAATGTAAGAATATATTGGGAGTGTCCAAAAGGACAAACATGGTCCGGATGAAAACTTTCTGAGTTCTGATGAAAATTAAAGGAAAATTTACCTAGATTGGTTCCAATCCTTTGAGAAGGTTGAATGGATGCCTTTTGATGAAAAAGCTGTTGATAGCAGTAATGGCTTCTTGAAGTATTAAAAACTGTTTTGGAGCAGCTACAGTAACCCGAACCAGTGAAGAAGGAAGAAGAAGATGAGGAAGAAGACAAGAGAAAGAGAGAACAGGAGGGGCAGAGTACTCTAATGCTTATTAGGTTCTAATTCAGTCGACCCCCTTATGCTTATTAGGTTCTAATTATACTTACAAAGACTAAACTGCCCTCACTTAAGTGTGGGGCAGAGTACTCTAATAAAACAGCCACATAAGCAAAGTACTTAACTRACATGAGATTACTAAACTACCCCTATTCGGCTCACTAACAAAAACAAAATGAGAAAAGGGGCAGAAAAAAAAAGTCACCTTTTTATGTCTTTTAAATGGAAGTTACCTTTTCCAAAAAATAAAAAAAACAAAAAGTGGCGAGAAAACTTGGAATCATTCAACATGGTGTCCAGAATCACTCTAGGGCATGGGAATCACTCATCAGGCATTGCATACGTTGTAAAATCTCAAATTAATTTTACTCCATGTGCAAAACGTCCAAAACATATTTATCGACTAAGCCCAAAAGAATCCTAGTAGAATTCAAAAAACATAAAATTACAGAATTGCCACTGTACTATTTTAATTCAAGAAGACTCAATAACTCTTACCCTGCTTATTCAACAACTCTAAAGCTCTAAACATAAACTAACTATAAAGATAAATCAGATCCTATTATTTGACTCCACAGAAAATTTATTAAAAAACAATACTACCCCTTGTGTCCAATTCAGCCCAAATTCTAAGTATCATCACTGTGCCATATCAGGACCTATTGCAGGGCCTTCTTCCTTCTAGAATAAGTCTTTCTGATTGACCCCTATCAACCTAGGAGTTGTTCCAGTAGGTGACAAAATGAGGAAAGTAGACTAAAATGGTTTGGTAATATGATGCAGAGAAGACCTTCGGCAGTGCCCATAAGAAGTGATCTCTTACAAGTTGAAGGAGCTAAAAGAGCTAGAGGTAGACCAAAAAGGACATGGTTTTAAGTAGTAAGAAATGATTAAACAGATATCATTTTATGTTGCACACCTAGATTAACTAAATTATGTTAAAAATGAAATACAAGGATTCGAAATACATAAATGAAATACAAGTAGAGGGTGCAACTTCGGTCAGGTTAGATCCAATCTGGACTAGTCAAATCAGGTTTTAGGTTTGCTTTTCCAGGTATCAGGTAGTACAATCCCACTCAACCCAAAGTCCCAAACCTGATCTTATATGACATACAATATATTCATTAGCTAAGAGGGAGCATACAGACATTGATCTGGGTGGGTACCATTTAACTTACATTTTTTTTTTTCTGGAGAGAGCAACAATGGACTATTTCTATTGTAAAGTGAAAAATGAAGGTTCACATACCATACTGTAATGTAATTTGATATTTCTTGTACTATCTATAAATCAATTATTGGCTACTAACCAAAAAGTGGCATATAATATCTTTTCAGTTTTCACTTGAATCGCTTATATGTATCAATTTAAACTTATTGTTCCATGCATACCCTAGTTGATATTCCACAAAAGTTACACAAATTTCCTTGCACCTAACTATATATTAAATTATTAACTAAATCTAAAAATAAAACCTATGCTATACATACGGCAAGGGTATGGTTGGACACGGTATCAGAAATGGAATATAGATTAAAAATTGAAGTAACTAACATGATACATCACCTTTGTACAGGTATCTGGGTATCATAAAAAAACCTCTCTAAAGTTTCATTTCTCAGATCCATTAAACTTTACTATTCAATTTTATATAAAGACAAGAAGGTTTCCAGTGGCCCCTCTCTGTTTTAATTGTATTATTTGTTTTTTATTGCATTTCTCTTTTTTCCTTTTGATATTTTCATTTCCTCTTCTATTAAGGTTAAGTATACCATCTTGTCAAATGATAATAGGAGGCGACTTAGTTATTTACCTTCAGTGCTTAAGGTTACTGAGCCAAATGCAACAAGTGATAGATATGAAAATGTTATTTTTTTGAACGGGGTCCTTCAATGTGTTTTCTAAAAACCATTTCTTAGATGGTGTTTGTTCACACTGAATGGACCACTGAAATTGAAAAAAAAAAGACAACTTTTCAATGGTCCCACTTCATTTGGTACAATCTCTTAGTGTCTCATAGGCCCACTCCCTTCTGTGAAGCACTAACAGGCTTTTGGCTTTTCAAATAATCTTTTCCAAAATTATTTTGACACAAGTGCCACTCTTTTATCTTCTTACCCAAAACCCTTCTCTTTTCACCAACATTTCCCTTTGCATTTTGAGAGCTAATGAATTGGTGAATGCTGAACTTCATTTCCATTTTTTTCTTATGTTATGTTGTTCTTTCTCCTCCAACTCGATAAGGGGTAAATTTGTAAAATAGGTTGTTTTCAAATGTTACAGCATTTGGATATTCAAACAGTTCAATTGCATTCAGAAGTATACAGAAGTTGAAAGTAGATTTCAGATTTCAACTATTCAGAGTACAGATCAACATTTGGTTTTACTAAACAGCAAAACCGCCTTAGTCATTAAGTATTTGAGTTTGTTGTAAGGCTTCATTTAAGAGATGAAATGGATATGCAATTGATATGAAGATGTATCTTGTAAGCTTTGTGATGTATGTTATCCCTAATTTCTCTCAGCCTTACAAGGCTACAGCCTGCAGGGTAATGAGAAGTACATATAATAACACCAAGACAACACATAGAAAATCAAGAATCATAAGACAGGAAATAAAAAAATAATGTACCTGAACAAATATGTACAGGCCAGGAATTGACATAACATCTGCACCCATAAGCTTTAGTCCAAAATCAACATGTGGCTGTCAAACCAATATTAACAGAAGAACCATTTAGAAATATTTAATTTAAAAGTAGGGCCTTGTCTACCACTTAATAGTTCCAACTTCCAACAATTAAATTCCCAACAGTAGAAAAGGGATGACATGGAAATCATCTAGGATAATTGTCTCCCAGTCACTTAGATATATTCACCTTGGAGGGGGGGATCAATCCTTTATTAGAAAAACCCTGGTTGGAAACGCTAAGTGGTGGGTCTCAAAAGTCATGTGCATATGTAACACACAAGCAATGAGAGCCATGGGAGGATAGGGAGTAAATCTTGTTCCATACTCAAAATTAAAATCATATGGTAAATTACTACATACCTTCTCCATAAGAGACACCAAAATTTTGGCAAAACAGGGGAAACTTGGAACCAGTGGTTTAAGTGTAATACGCGGTGCAGCAAAGACTTGTAAATCCATTGCCTAAAATCCTCCAAACATTACTAACCAATTAACCATAATTAATATATAACAAAAAATAGAATTCTCTTTCAATGGAGACAAGTAATTAAACTTTACAGGCATTAGAGTGGGTTTTTTTTCCAATTTCATATAGAGAACTTGATGAATACTAGAAGGCACCTGCAATAAACATGGGACAATTTGGTTCTGCAACCAATCCCTCAGTTTATGAAGTTATGATGCCAACCTGCAGTACTAATCCTTATTCTCTTTTAAATCCTTTTTTGTTCCATAGTTATTTCAATAATAAAAAACCATACAATAACAGTAGATTTTGAAAAAACACTAATTTCCTTAATATATTATTAAATTAGACTAATATAAATTGCACAGAACAAGTTGGAAAAGAAGTCAACTACCTGCACTGTTGCTTTCAACCCAAATGCCTTTGCAGCAACAATAACATTAGGATTTCCTGCCCATTTTAAGGATAGCTCCATAATTAACTCTTTCTCATCAGTAGTGTAGACTTTCATACCTGACAAGAATTGTGACAATATGAGAGTAATGCCTTACGAACATCTCTTACATAAAAAAGGTACAAATACAATATCCATTCACACAGCAAATGTATTTGTATATATCTGTCTATTTATAACAGTTTCCTATTTCTTCTTTCCCCTACAGACAAATGGCATCAAGAAAAAATAGAAAGACAAGCACCTCCAATTAACAGTGTGATGCCAAGGGCCTTCAGAAGCAACATTATATGACAAAATATAAGAAATATAAGTAATAAACCAAGATGCCAAAAATTCCAGCATGTTGACCATAGGGTTCACTGAAGAAATGATTTAGAAATCAAATATGTTCAGATACAATAGAGAAAGGGAAAATACTTGAAGAAGCAGAAAGAAGAGAAGAGAGGACAATAGGTTATAAGTGAGTTCTTGGTCGGCAAGAATTTCTTGATAGTGAGTGCCAACTTCTTACTAGTTAGTCTGGGCTACACATGTCAAACTAAGACCATTGACCATATTCCCTGAGGGCCCCGGGTTTGGCATGGAGTTACCATCAAATCTGAGATGAGCCTCAAACATGAAATATTATTATGAATCACCAACAGACATAGAGGACAATAGCATCTCTAAAAGATTCAGGCAAATCTCATTACAATATTTGTTATGTAAACATGATTATATTAAGAAAAACAAGAATTTGGGGGACAAACAATTTAACAGGTGTATTAAACTGGCTAACCATGGAAAGTCGGTGGTAAAGTGCCCAATGTAAGTGCTTCAAATTCAACCGACTCAATTTTATAATTTGGAATTTGCTCAGCAATGATAGGCTTTGTAATATTCTCCACCGTCTTGCAGATTGCCTGAATAAGAAATTCGATCCATAAATACCTAATAAAAAGGTCGGAAAATATATAGCACCACCAGATCAATTTCAAAGATGGATCAATATGCAAATACCTTGTCAAGATAAGGCCACATACTTGCAATGAACTTATTAAGCCAATCAATCTTCACAGGAGTACAAACAACAGCAACTTGGTTATTAGAAACTATAGTGGGCAATAAGTGATCAGAAAATACAGTTGTCAATGAAGTACAAAACTAACAACCACTTGTAACATACGCGATCATAATCTGGATTCTTCACCCAAAGGGGTATCTCAGGAAGCAGCCGCTGCAAGGTTGTTGAATCTTGCTCAACAAATGGACACACTTCAGGATCCTAAGCAAGCAAATTAGCCAAACAAGTAAGCAAACAAGCTTTAGTGACCCTATTATATCATTCACACATAATAAACCAAAGCAAGAAGCTGCTTATTTTTCATTTTCTCAAAGTTTCTATCATTTCTTTTTTTTTATTTTCTTTTTCTTTTATTTTCCTTACATCAGCAACATGTTATATTGAAGGATCCATTTAATAACACCAACAGATGTTCAGGATCTGACATGGATACATTTGACATAGAAACCCTGAAACATCCACAAAAGAGTATGTAGAGAAGATGGGCCGAATGGCTCATAGGCTGTTTCTTATTTTATCTCTTCATGTTCTTTGCTGTAATGGGACTCAATTTTTGAGCCTTTATTTCTCTTATTTTATGTTTTTTAATTAATTGCCCAACCAGGGGCCTCTCTGCAAATTACTAAATTTTAAGTTAATGAAATAGGATTAGGGGTGTAAGAGGAGATTATGTTCGAAATCTCTCTCTAAACCCTTATTGCCGCCACCTTCTTCTTCCTCTTCTCTCTTCTTGAAACCTGATTTCTGCTACTCTCAATCAATTCTCTGCAATATTTTGAACAGTCCTTTCATTTCAAAAGGCTGTTTTTCTTCTTGGTTTCAGAGCAGGCTCTTCTTCTTCTCTTTTTCACCTCTTTTTTCCCATACATAGTGTGTATGGAGAACTGAATCGGATGAATAGTTAAAGAAACCTGTTTCAGCCCAGTTGTAAGTGGTTTCTAGAGAGGAGACTGTCTTTGTCGTCCTCCTGATAGCTTCAAGTGTGTTACCCGAAACCCTAATTTTCTAGAGAAATCTGATTGCAGGCCCCACAGGGAGTTTGACTTGGGCGCTCAGTGACTGAAAAACTTCTTATTCTTCATCTTGAAGATCGATTCAAGTTGCTTGGTGTTCTATGAAGTCTACAAGGTGTAGCTGAGTTTTCTCTGTTTCTCTCGGGTTCCGGGTGTGACACAATTAGCAGGTACAGCTGCATAGAGGTTGATTCACAACACAGTTTTTCTTCTATCTCCATTGATTGTCATTCAAAGTTATTAAAGTTATTTTTGAAGTATTTTAAGAAGATGGACCCTTCAGAAGTTGAAAACAAGCATATTGCTGAATCCGAACAGGTTCCAAGAGCCTCTGTTGACTCTTTATTGGCTATGACCACAGTCAAGCTATATGGAACTAATTATCTGGCTTTGTCACAATCAGTAAAAATTATATCTGCAATAGAGGCAAATGGGGTTATATCTCCGGGAGCAAAAAGGCTCCCTCGGAAGATGATCCATCCTATGAAAAATGGATGCAAGAAAATTATACTGTAATCAGATGGCTAGTGAACTCAATGCAACCTCAGATTAGTCAACATTATTTGTGGATGAATTCAGCAAAGGAAATATGGGATAGTGTTGCTGAAATCTATTCCCAGAAATTAAATGTGGCTAGAGCATACAAGCTGAGGAGTGATGTGAAGAATTTAAGACAGGGGGAGAAACCTTTAGCTGTTTAATTTTCAATATTGAAATCTCTATGGCAAAAAATTGATTTGATGGAAATTGTAGCCTGGGAAAGCACTAATGATGCAGAGACCTACAAGAAACTTGTTGAGAGAAACAAGGTGTTTAAGTTTCTGACAGGGTTGAATCCAGAATATGACATCACAAAGCAAAATATCTTATCCAATGATAGTGTTTCATTGTCTCAAGCCTATGCCTTGGTAAGTAGTGAAGAAAGCAGGAGACTAGTCCAGGTTCAAGGGGCTGGTCTAAATAATCACTTTGCTAATATGGAAGTGAAACCTAAGGGCGTTACAGGAAATCCAATTGGCTCAAGGAAGAAAGAAATTATTTGTGAGTACTGTAAGAAACCAAAACACACAAAAGACAAGTGTTGGAAATTGCATCCGGAGTTTCTTCCCCTTCGTTTTCAAAAGAAGTCTGATAATATGAAGGCAGGGAGTGCCAATATTGTTGCTGGTCCAGATAGTGACAGATGTCTAACTGAAGAGAAGACTACTAGTAAGCAGTTAGCAGCTATGAAGGTAGAGTATGAGAAGTTTGGAAGGATGATCAGTCACCTAGAGGGTGTAGCCTCTTCTTCCAACCCTCTAGGAAATTCAACCTCTTCTTATTTGCTCATTCAGGTATACGGGCTTCTACCAATCATGCAACTATCTCAGGTAATCGTAGGATCCCTTGGATTATTGATTCTGGTGCTTTTGATCATATATGACCAGCCCTTCCACCTTGTTTGTTTCTTATGATTTACTCAGTGGCCGTGACAAAATCACCCTAGCCAATGGCTCTCTTGCTCCTATCTCTGGCAAGGGAACCATCAAGGCTACAGACTCATTGGTACTTCCTTTTACTCTTCATGTACCCAAACTAAATACAAATTTGTTATCTGTAAGCAGCCTAACTAAGTCTTTGAACTGTTGTGTAACCTTTTTTTTCCTTCCTACTGTGTTTTTCAGGATTTGGAGTCTCAGAAAGTGGGGAGTGGCCCTGAGGCGAATGGAATATATCTGTTGGACACTCCTGGACAAGGCCATGGACAACCTGGAAAAGCAGCTTTTGGATCTACATCTTCAGAGTCTGTCAGTTGTGTCATGTTATGTCATTTTCGTTTGGGTCATCTTTCATTTTCTGCATTAAGTCATTTATTCCAAGAACTATTTAAGGGAATTAATTTGTGCAGTCTTCATTGTGAGTCTTGTGAGTTGTCAAAACATTGTAGAAGTAGTTATCCTTTGAGTAATAAAAGATCTTCTTCTCCATTCCATATTGTGCACTCTGATGTGTGGGGGCCTTACCACTTACCTTCTATGGGTGGCTACAAATATTTTATCTTGTTCATTAATGATTTTTCACCATTCACTTGGATATTTTTGATGAAGTTCCCAGACTTGTGAGGCAATTCCATGAATTTGTTCTAATCCAGTTTGATACCAGAATTAAAATTTTCAAATCCAACATTGCAAAAGAATATTTTGAGAAGAACTTAACCTGTTATCTCATTGATTTGGGGGTTATTCGCCAAAGCTCCTGTGTTAGGACCCCAGAACAGAATGGAGTTGTTGAAAGAAAAAGTCGGCATATTGTTGAAGTTGTAAGAAGTATCCTGTTTGCCTCACATGTCCCTACAAAATTTTGGGGTGATGCTATTCTCACTACAACCTACCTAATCAACCGTATGCCATCCAGGGTATTGGGGTTTAAGTCTCCCTTCAGTCTTCTTCATCCGGGCAAGGACCTTTTTCCTATTCCACTCTGTGTCTTTGGCTGCACTTGTTATGTACATATTCCAAGTGTCCAGAGACATAAATTTGAACCAAAAGCCCACAAGTGCATTTTCCTTGGTTATTCCCCCACACAAAAGGGTTATTGTTGTTTTAATCCAAAGACTGGAACTCGGTATGTCTCAATGGATGTCACCTTTGATGAGCTTTCTTCTTTTCATGATTCTTCTCAGGAGAGGCATTGTCCAAAGGGGGAGAATTTGTCACAGTTATTTTCTCTCCCCCTTCCTGTCCTAGTTGAGTCTTCTTTTGAGCCTCTTCCTCCTTCAAATGAATCAAGGAAGGATCAGTCATCTCATTCTCATTCCAGTGTTCCTATCCCTCCTCCATTACTTCCTCATCTTCTTTTTAATCCCAGGTTGTACCAACGGTAGAGAACTAGAAGTGAGCAAATTGTTTCCCCTACACCACATGAGCCTCCTGCACTTCCAGTCACAGAAGAGACAACAAGTGCTGATACAGCCCCTTTGGAGCCATCCTTCCTAGACTTTGATATCCCTATTGCTATTAGGAAAGGAAAAAGGAAGTGTACTGCACATTGCATTTCCAAACACCTTTCTTATAGTTTGCTTTCTCCTTCGTATTTTGGCTATCTTTCATCTGTTGTTTCTAACCCAATACCCAAGTTTGTGTCAGAAGCTCTTACTATTCCAGAATGGAGGGATTCTATGAGAACAAAAATTGATGCCCTGTACAAGAATGACACTTGGGAAGTGGTTGATTTACCTAAAGGAAAGGAACCAGCAGGCTGTAAGTGGTTTTTTACCATCAAATATCATGCTGATGGCACCATTGAAAGGTACAAGGCTAAGCTGGTTGCAAAAGGTTATACACAAACAAATGGGATTGACTATCTGGAGACCTTTGCTCTTGTTGCAAAGATGACTTCTGTGAGAGTTCTACTATCTCTGGCTACACACTCAGACTGGCCACTTTACCAGTTGGATGTAAAAAATGCATTTCGGAATGGAGAGTTACATGAGGAGGTTTATATGTCTCTTCCTCCAGGGATGTATGGAACATATATGAAAGGGAAAGTCTACAAGCTGAAGAAATCTCTTTATGGACTTAAGCAGTCCCCTAGGGCATGGTTTGAAAGGTCTAAGGCTGCCCTTGTTAACTTTGGCTATGTACAAAGTCAGTCTGATCATACCCTCTTTGTGAAGAAGAGAGGATCTTTGGCAGTATATCTGATTGTGTATGTTGATGATATTGTTATGACTGGTAATGATGTATCAGGGATTAATGATCTTAAATCTTCCTTCATACAGAGTTTGAGATCAAAGATCTGGGGGAATTGAGATACTTTCTTGGCATAGAAGTTGCCCGATCCAAGGATGAAATCCTTATCTCTCAGCAAAAGTATGTACTTGACTTGCTCTCTGAAATAGGGAAGATGGGTGCTAGACCAATTGCTACTCCTATTGATATGAGTCATAAACTCTCTGCCTCGGATGGAGTATTGTTGGAAGATAAGGGAGTCTTCCAGAGGCTACTTGGGAAACTACTCTATCTATGCATGACTCGGCCAAACATTGCATATGTTGTCAGTTGAATTAGTCAGTTCATGCATGCTCTCAGGGACACTCGCATGGCAACAGCCGAACAAATTTTGTGATATCTAAAGGATTCTCTTGGAAAGGGAATTCTATTTGCTAAGCATGGTCATATGAAACTTGAAGCCTACACAGATGCTGAT